TTCGTTATAACGCGAATTCGCGGCACACACGAAACCCACCACGATGTAAAGTTTCAAGTTATTCCTCCCGGTTGTCGGGCAACATTCTTATTCGACCAAATTTTCGCTTCGGAATTCAATAAACCCTTGTGCCAGTTCTCCAAGATTATTCCGAGGGATATAATTCCAAGAGTAGTTTCGAGACACGCGTTGCAGTACGCACGTAACCGTAGTTATTGTTATCACAATTTAATTCGACTTAATAATATTATCAAGTCGCGGTACGATGAATTGTTCTTGTAACAATGCGACTGTACCGAAATGAATTTTCGCATGTAATGAAACAACATTCGTCGAGAATTGCGTTATTGTTACTGTGCGTGAAACATCGACGAACTAGACCTCCTCATTTGACGTGGTTGCAACTGCAAGACTGTCGGAAACAACGTCGTTGAAAATAATTTTCGAAACGTCGACCAGAGCGCACGATTTCAATCGCGTAGTCATCGCAGTCTCGTAGTAAAGAAATCTATTTTCAGTTCTAAACCAATAATATATATTGTTTTCCTAAATCGCGTAAATCCTTGCGAAGAAAAATGTTTCTTTTTTTGTAGATGTCGAGTACGGTAGCTAACGCTACTTCTAGACTGCGTTAATGAGGTTAACGCCTGAAAAGAGACTTAAATTTCAGAGCGGCAGTGATATCGGGTTAAATCAGAGATGCAACTGCAACAATGGTGTGTACGTAACTCGAGCATGGAGTTTGCTATATACGCCATGAAAAATGTACCGTAAAATATCACATTCTCAGAAAAAAAGTTTCACATGGAGTGTGCATATGGTACGATAATATTTTTATAAAAATAAAATCTTTCAAACAAAAATTTTCAAGAGCCAGACAAAATTTTTCCTCTCTCTGTTGTAACCTTTTCTCAGCCACCCAATAAATATAATATTGAATTATAGACCATAATACCAGACACAATTCTACATTATACGAAAGAATGATAGAAGATTTTGTACAAAAGACTTGATCTAAAATTGATGCCAATTTATAGTCACAATATTAATATAAGTTTGTTGCATTTGTGTATATACATATATAGTATATAACTGCAAATTCTAAATTGTATAAAGCGATCTTAAGATTAAATTCTCTAACGTATGTTCGTTGTCGCTGTAAAATTACTCTCACCAACTACAATACTATATTTTCTCTTCTTTTCTATTTTCAATACTGCAATGAGAATTCTATTTGTACCTTCACCACCAAAATCATCTTTTCCTCTTTTCACGCCAATCACCATCGTTTTCGACGAGTTCGTGTATCCGTTAAAATCGAGATAGATTCGACCAGTCTATTGAAATCCCCAATTGATCGAACAAAGTATTTCACGGACTGAGGATTAAAAAGAAAATATCGAACCGTAGACGAGAGATCTTTCAGAGAATCCTGAATTATTCGAAGCCACGTCGCATGTGACAGTAAAACGGACAGTCGAAAGACGTGCGAAAGCACGACTTGATCGCCTCTCGGTATCGCCTCTTACGTGAGTAAGCCCTGGATTATCCTCGTGTCTAAGTATCACGTAGGATGTCGGAAAAAGAGATTTGATCTCGTTGTGCAACAAAAATCGATTTCTTTGCGATGTGCTGCCTTCGAAGAATTGTCTACGAATATCACGAATTTAAATGCATCGCGTTCGCATTTATACATTTCAACTTGTGTCACTATACATTTTGCATTTTATTATTTTTATGACAATTATTATTTTATAATTTGCAAGCTAAATCATGAAAAAATAAATCTTACTTTTAAAATGCATATATAAATTTTGCTGTTTACTATTTAAAATAACATTTATTCCTTTTATTTATTTATACCCCTGATAAATAATTTACGATTATTTCATGTATCGCTTAAATGTAAATTAAAAACCAATTATCAATACTTTCATATTTTTATCTGATGTAAACAACATTTCTGACAAATTGGTCAAACGATTCGTACAAATCCGATCGTGTGCGGTGATCGGTGCGATCGTTTCGGAATATTTTATCTAATGTGGAATTGCCATGAGATTTTAACGGACGCATTCCCGCGAGTATCATTTTGCCGTTTCGTCAAAACAAAATAATGTAATTGGCAAAGTTTTTATTTACTCATTATACGAGTTGCCCATTTATTAAAAGCAGGTAAAACGACACTTACTGTCCATTTTCAAATCCCCTAATTCTTCCATTTAAAATTGAACACAAATGCTATATAACTAATCATATTCTTTTTGTGATGCAAAATATTAAAAATGATTCCTAATCAAATTTTGCGAATGTAGATAAAAGATGACCGTATCTTCAACTTATCTTCACCACTTATCTTCAATTAGGTAATAGCTATTAATTCAAGTAAACAAAAACTAATTAATGTTTCTTTTAGCTTTAGCAGATAATGCATTATTTATTTCATTTCTTATTTCATTTTTTATTCAAGTGATAAAAAGTAAGAAGAATGAGACAAAGTGTAAGTATCGTATGATAAGGAAGTATATATAGAAGCAAATTGTAAAATGAAAATTGTAAAATGATAAATTCATAAGGACCGAGAAGAAGGATTTTTTAGGATTTGGATTTGAAAAATGTACGTAATAATCCCAATTTCATCTTCTCTCAATCATAGTCGCTGAAAAAAGATGATAGAGTTTTTTAATCAATCCCGACAGCGTAAGGAAATAAATTGCCAGTATCACTGGATCTTCAATTTTGCGTGTTCGCAGATGAAATACGGATAAAGGAAAGGTGTCCTTTC